TCTGGTTTTTCCAAGAAAATTGCCAAAAAAGGAAATTTTTTAGGAAATTTAGGATCAGCGGAAAGAGTTTTTTTTTACAAGACTAAAAAAAAATTATTTTTTATTACTATATTAGAAACTAAATAAAGAATATATAATATATTAATTTATATTTCTTATTAAGTTTTTTAAAATAATAAAAAAAATTTTTTGAAAAGAAAGCTAAAGTTTTTAAATTTTTATTTCAATTAAATAAAATTAAAATACTATTGATATTACTATTTTTATTAAACTATAAATTTATGTTTTATAAATAAAAATATAAAATAAAATATTATATCTTAAGAATTTAAAGTGATAAATTCTTTAGATAATATTCAATTTTAGTAATCAATAAATAGACTTTATAAATAATCTAAAGTCTATATATAAATATTTCAATTAAAAATTTTTCTTTTGAAAAATAATTATTTGCTTAAATAAAAATATTTTGAAGAATTTTGAATTATTTTTTTTTCTTTATTTAATATCAATTTATTAAAAAAAAATTTACAATGTTCAAGTTTATTTTTTAAATAAATGCAGTATGTTATAATTTCAAATTAAAATCGTTACACGAAGGAGCTTGATTAAAATTATAATAATATACTATTTCATATAAAATATTATTATATGCTATAAAAGAATAAATCATAGTAATTTTCATATTTATATGTATGTTTTATAAACTTACATCAGGAAATTTCTACCTAGGCAAACTGTGCGACTCCGACGGTCTTTTGGACAATCATATTCAAAAGATTGAAATTATCCTTATACGTTTCTTTTTCTTCCATGATTTCCATGTGATCATAAAGTTTGACACCGATCATCATATTGTTACGGCATCCAAAAAACGTAAGAATAAATAGGTGGCACCACCTAGTGATTTTATACGATTCCGTGAATTTGAAGCTCGGTCTTACCAAATTCTTGTGCAAAAAAAACAATTCATCCACGAGTTCCTATTTTCATATGTGACGTAAGCGCTATTTCCTTCCCAAAACCCTGCATGCGGATTCTGAAAAAGGGAAACAAAGAGATCCTAAAACTCATTGGATTGTATATTTTGAATAAATAAACTACAATCAGTGTTGATGAAATTTCTCTTTCTCTTCCCATTTTGTTCCCTTGGACCTCCACCGGAAATTTTTCCTAATAATTGAAAAAAATATTATAACAAAAAAAGAATTAAAAAAAGATTGATTATTCTAATAATTGAGTTGCAATCGTGATTCTCTAGTAATGGACTTGGAAGTGGTTTACGCAATTCACCCATTTGAAGCGGAAAATGATGATGAGATCTCTTTTGACCTGGGGGACCCCATTACGGTTTTGGAAAAAGATGACATGTATGGTGATGGTTGGTGGCAGGTATACATGTCGTTTAAGCCGCTATTATCCAGGATTGTGTTGGCCGACTTAAATTCACGTGTTTAAACCAAATCTTACTTTTTCATAAATCAAACATTCCTAAATACAGGGAAGGACCACAGAAGGGAAGGTTGGGCTTTTTCCTGTGAGTTACACGAGTCCTAACGGACCCGGCATCGATAAAGACGGATCCTACAATAACTTGACTATGACCCCCACAAATATATTGAATTCGAATGATTCAGACTTGGATATGCCTTTGCCACCTTTCAGAATGAATTCGCCGTCGTCAATTGATGAAACCATAGACGACATACAAGAGAAGCTGCAAAAGATGAGCGTAAGAATGGAGGGGCAATCTAATCAAATAAAAATGGGACCATACCAATATCCATGGTCGCCAAAAAACGGTAGACATAGTAAATTGTTTTTTTCATCTTCGGGATCCAACAGCAGCCATAGTAGTCGCAAGTCTTCACCGGGCGTGTTGGAAAATTTGAAACGACCAGAGAGCGTAAATAATTTTGGCACACCATCACCCACGAAAATTGCTACCCCAATGCCCGTTGCCCCTTCGCCTACTGAATTAGTCATGTCATCCCCTACCGAGCTGGTTGCGTCATCATCTCCAGTTGGTAGCAATACCGAGAAATTTGAAGCTTATCCATTAAATTGGGATGTTCAACAAGTTTGTTCATGGCTGGAAGAAAAGGGTTTTAAAAATGAAATACCAAATTTTATCGGTAGGATACTTTGAACATGAGATTTCTTTAATTTTGAGTAAAATTATTAACAAAAAAAAAAAAAAAAAATTTTTTTCACGTTATAGAAAATGATATTACGGGTGATGTTCTTCTCCAATTAAGTTTATCTACGCTTAAAGAATTGAGTATAGCTTCATTTGGAAAACGGGTCCATATAATGGATGCAATCAACTCATTAAAAGCACAATATTCCATAGTTGAACTTGGACTTGATGACGATGTATCTGATATAGAAGAGGTTGGTTTTTACACTGTAGGTCTTTTTTTTTCCTCCACAATCGCACTTAGTTCAAATTACATTGTAAAATTTTTTTGAATAGCACATTCAAAAGCATTCCGAATCGTATCAGATGTATCCGCAAAATTCGTATTATAACAGTTCGATGGATAACAAAGGTGGAAGTGTTACTTTCATGACTCCAACCCCACCGCATGTCAGAATGGAGGATCCTAAGATCGAATTTCTTGGAGGTGACGCTGAACTTCAAAAGAACAACACAAATAATTTCTATGCTCATGAATCGACTCAATCAAGGAAGATAGAAGATGCAAACGCCGAAGTAAGTTTTATAATAGAATGTACGGCTTAATTATTAAGTTCCTAACAAAACGAATTCCTTTGAATAGTTGGCTTCCGAAAAATCCACCATTAAAAAATCTCGTTCGATTTTTTCAAGGCTGCAATCATTTACAAAGTCAAACAAAGACAAAAGATCTTCTGATACTTCAAAACATAAGGCTCGAGCGGCATCCACTAACGGCGGTTGGGATTTTTTTGTGGTAAGGTGATTAACGTGAGTCATTTTAGATTATATTTTACTAAAACTATCGCCCACGCTTTACCAGGACGATGAATATAATGGTCGTCATGAGGAAAAGAGAAAATATCATAAATCAAAGAACAAATCTGTCGGAGATGAACCTTCACTAGGACTTGAACTTGAAAAAGAAGTCGGTTCGATGTATACTGTAAAGAAGAGACTTCCATCGGTATTTTCCATTTTAATTTTAACCATTTTCTTTGCGCATCAAGACTAAGAATACTTTTGTCATATTGCAGGAGAGAAATAGCGTTATTGAAAGTCGTCATTCCGAGTGAGTAAATATAATAATATCTGATATGGTTTGTCACTAAAAACTCAGTGTAATAAGTAATATTTTATTTATTTTAGCTATGAAAATTTTCAAAATTTGGAAACAATTGACGACATAACCGGCATGAATGAAGAAATAATGAGAGCAATCGAGGAGCCAGATTACGAAGGGTGGCTTAAAAAGCAAGGACTCAAATATAAAACGTGGAATTCGCGTTATTGTATCCTAAAAGGCACCGATCTCTATTACTTCAAAACGGATAAGGTAAAAGTCAAATGTCTGACGTACCTCACTCTACATAATATATGATTAATAATTCTTTTTTTTTTAGGCTGTGAATGGTCCAAAGGTTAAAGGTCACATAGATCTCGCAGGATATCGTATATATCCTGATGAGAATTTATTACACGGAAAATATGGATTCAAGCTGGTACACGATACGATGCGAACGCATTATTTCGCGCACGAAGATGTCGAGAAGATGCGAGGTTGGATGAAGGCCATGATGAAGGCTACCATATCGCGGGATAATAAAGGTAAATAACGGCAAGGCAACCTGCTAACTAATTTAGTTCATAATGGTTGTTAATCTCACGCGATAGAACCTTACTGATCCCTATTTTAGCACCTGTAGTAAGCTCAAGCATTATTAATACGGTACCACTCGCAGAAGCTCGCAAAATGTCACCAAGACCACCACAACCTGGAAGATCATCGTTAACGCCTACGGCAGCCACAAAAGTCACATCACCTATTCTTAGATCAACCTCTCCGTATTTCTCAGGAACAACGTCTCCACCACCATATACGGTACCGTCAGTCTTGTCACCACCATTAGAACCGATAGTCGAAAACACCCCAATCTCACCAAAGATACGACCATATAATAATACCAATAGGTCGATTTCAACAGGGTTCTTCTAACGTCTCGCCAATTTCTACTTATTTATTGCATTCCATTTGACAAATTTACCCATATTAGTTATCATGTTGACATTCAGTGGTAGTGTGTAATATTGATTTGAATTGTAAAAGAAGGGATAATTTACTACACCAATTTGTGTTTATAATAATCAAAATTTGGTTTAGGCATATATTTCCCGAAGAATTGTTAGAGAAATTTATATTTTATACCATTTTTTAATCGCATCAAAAGTACTTATCAATTGAGTGTGAATATTAGTAGTAGATAGATATTAATTATTTTATAGAATTACTACCTCTTTATTAAGAACACAAAAGTTTACAAAGAAAATTTTTTGAATCATTGAATTAACAGGTTGATATTATATCATGTACTGTATAGCTGAGTAATACAGTAATATCGAAGTCATGATATTGATTTTGCTTAAGGAATATACAATATATTATGTAACATATTATTTTTCAAATTTTCAAATTTTCAAATTTTAGAATAGAATTACAAGAATTAATTAGAATATTGAAAATATAAAAAATAAAATTGCTGTTTTAATAAAGATTTTTATTAAAAAAATAAAAAATTAAATAACAAGTATTATTAAATATATATATATATTTTTTAAACCTGTGGTCAGGCCAGCATTGTATATTTATTAATCATTGAGAAAACCGATTGAGATACATAGGGCAATTGCATCATGGCTAAACTAAAATCTCGTACTGACACACTTGTCAATGGCTTTCAATTCTCAAAAGAGCTTCAGCCTCTAAGTGCAACCTTGGAGACAATATTTTACTCCGAACTAAGTTTTGGGTGAAGACCCTCCTAACTTACCCATCATTGCTAGCAGGTTGTCACTACTTATTATCCTCCAAGGAACTGAATTCGAGAAACTACAAAAGGAGAAAGGGAAAATAAAAAGAAACAGGGATATCTAAAAATATACAATTGTGCCCACAGTTTCTATTTAATATTTTTATATTACATTCAACTCTTGAAGCTATCCCATACCCCTCAAGTTTACTCAGTAACAATACTATATATGTTTCATTCATACTTTTATTTGTATCTTATATGTATAAACTACTTCTTATACTATGTGTACATTAAATAAGCACTATATATATCAACTATTCTTAGTATCTATCTATATATGACTAGCTATATTAATTATACTATATATATAAGCACTACCTTTTTAGGAAACTATACAATTTCTTCTTGATTCTTCCTAGTACATTATTATTAAGAGTAGGCTAGTTATCAGGCCGTCAAATTTTCTTTATCCTGGATCCAGTTTTTGATCCTTCAGAGTGGTCAGCAAATTTCTTTTCCCATCAAGGCCTCCTGATATTACTGGCTATGGTAAGTACTGCATAGCCTAGCATGTAATAGTTAGTGGTACCCTACTGGTTGATTAGATCTACTCTTCTTATTACCATTTCCTAACTTACCACTAGGAGTAACACAATCAAGTCAGGATAATCCTAACCGATTTCGGATCTTGATCTTTAGATCACAATCTTTATATAGACTGTACCACGAGTGATCTTCAGTTCCCTTCTGATTGTCGTATGGCTATATATAGAAACATCAGAAGTATCTTCCTTATTTGATTAAGCCAATATATATAAGTTCTTCCAAACTTCAGGCATTGCACCCTGGAGGATCTGAACTTGAATCTTGCGATCTGACCTATGGAGTGCTAACCACTGCACTATTGACCCATAGGTCACAAGTATTATTATTATTATTTTTTTTTTAAACCTCTGTCAAGCTAGGTACGTGTGCTTTATTAAACATGTGTATACTTTACATTGAAGAATGTATCACTAAAGTTAAGACTCTACCTAACTCACTTGTCTCTATTTTAAAGAATTATTAAAACTCTAAGTGCAACTTCAGGAGTAATTTATCACTCTATTAACAGTTCAGATAAAGACCCTTCTGACTGTTAACTTTATTGCCTGCAGGTCACTACTGCAGATTACTTTGTGATGTTCTGACAAAGCTTAAATCCTAGCCATTTCATTCCATACTTTACTCTTCTTGTTAAAATTTCCTAAAGGTCTTCATCTTCAAGATTTCCTTCTTCAGGTAGTGGCTCTTTTTTCTTCATGAGTATAGATTTCGGGCTTGAAAGACATGGAGGTCTTCTTTCTTGTTCTTTCTATCAATTCCTTGTGTTTTTTCCCACTCAATTACCATTTCGCATCTCTTGTTCCAGATTTCTTTTCAGACTTGGTTGCAGACTCTTCTTTGCATTTTTATTATCCATTTTCTTGCTATTCTTCCTATGTGTTTACCTTGACATTTTAGATCTGCCATTTCTAGGATAATATCTGTTCTTATAAGATCAGTATAGAAGCTTAGCGTGTCCTGGCTAGTTTTAAAAACCTGTTCTACTACTTTAGAGATCTATTTATCAAACTCTTTTATCTCTTCTTAGTTGTTGATAATTAATTTGGGATTTTTCTCCTCAGCCTCTCTCTTTCTTTCCTCTAACAGCTCTTTAAAGTTTCTGATGATACTATCTACTTCTTTATTCCATACTTCTTTTGGTTGATTCTTATAGGCTGAACATTCTAGCAAGTGTTCTATAGTTTCATCTTGTTGGCTACATACAATACATTTCACTTGCTTGTATAGATCTGGTCTTTTTATAGCCAACTTGCTTAATGTAGATAGCTTGTCATTGGTCAGTTTGATTAGAAAGCTTCTTTGTTGTGATTGTTTAAAAAATGTATCCCACATATGCCCATCTTTAACCCTTTCCCATACTAGATCCCATGTATGAGCCTGGTATTCTGAAATCTGTTGACTCCATTTTTTCTCAGTTCTATTTTGTTGTGTCCACTGATAGACTATTGTCTTGTTATTAATGTTCTTAATAAACTGCTTGATTGGATCATCTAGAATCATCTCTTACCACTTGATTTCAGTAATAATTTTGTGTGAGGTGAGATCTTTCCATTCAATTGGTGGAAATTTTAGAGCTTCTTTAGTCAAGATATCTGCTTCTTCATTATAAGAATCATTTGAATGTGCTTTGACTTTTATGAGCTTTAGATCTATATTTTTCTTCTTTATTGACTCTACCATGCATGCTCAAAGTAACCAATTTTTTTCTTTGAGCCATTTCTTGTGTGTCCTTCTTGGGTCTTCTTTTTCTAAAGATTTCCACTTAGAGATATATGCCTGACTGTCTATAAAGATTTCCACCATGCTTTCTATTGAAACTACCAGAAAAATTGTTATGATTGCTACCAATTCTGCTCGTGTAGGTAAGGGCCACTTGTCTACTCCTGTTTGAAACTTGCTTTCTATTCCATCTTTGCCAATCTGAATCCAAGCTACACCATCTTCATTTCTTCTTTACCATGATTAATAAGTGATTGTTCAGAATAGAAGATTAGCTTTTCTTTGGATTCGAGATTACATTGAAGTATAGCTATCAACTAATCTTGATATACACCTTCTTTAATATTTTCTTTAATAATAGATTCTTCCCAGGTTTCAATGTTCACTGATTGATTCTGTCATTTTGAATCTTGAATGGGCTTTGGTCTCTATAAATCACTTTTTTAATTCTTTTTTCAAGTGTTGACCTAGGATTGAGAATTTTTAAATCTTGTATTCTTTTAGTGGACTTTCTTGTGTTGAGGTATGGTACTGTATATATCTCTCCTATTCCTCTTTCTATGATGCAGTCACCATTC